CCCGACCATTCTGAAACTTTCGAAGGCAGGTCAATTTTCCCGCATCAATCATCATTCGTCTAGCAAAGATCAGTAGGAAAGTAGTGATCCAGCGATAGTCGAATGGGTTATGTTTAGAAAGAAACAACGTTTATACATACACTCCTCACCCCATTTCTGATCACTTCGAGTAATTCTACTGCTGTAGCTTTGAGCCTCTGTCCAAACTGAATTTAAATGCCAAACGAATAGAGTGATGAGTTAATTACACAATAACTGGCATCACCTGACGAGATTCGGATAAGATTTCATACTCCCAATTCAGCGAAAACACAGGCTTTTATTTCGACGATGAAACGACGAGTAACAGAATAAGTGCTTTGCTTTCCATTCGCTCCCACCCTCACCACCCTCACTAGCATCACCACCACCTCCACCACCACCAAGTATATAAATCTACCTTTTCACGTCACTATGACGTCTGTCAATCACTAAACGATCACACGATCCCATCTTTTCTGTTCCCCCACTAATCCCAACTTTTAGCTGATCTAGCCAATGTCGTTGTGCGATGTCGATTGTACGGTTGTGCCCGGGAGAAACGAACCGATTTATTTGGTGAAGGTCGTTTGGAATTATCCCATATTAANACGGACGGAAAATCCGATGACTATTCAACTGTTTCCTCCACCGGAACCATCTATCAACGAGGTGCAAGGCGAGTTCGGGGAAGGTGAGGTCAAAGTCACCGCCGCTGCCGACTACGATAACGATAACGAGGTAGGCAGAATCGGGGGATCGAGGACTGGGTAGTCGGGCGGGTGGGTGGATTAGAGCGAAGCAAATCCTAGACCAGTGTGGTTCAACGAATACTTGTCTTTGTTCTTGGTTGTTGGTATACAATCTACATGTGATTGGAAATTTACACGAATTCAAAATAGACGGATTTTGAGAACTTGAAATTTGCGACGCCATGAATAAGAAATAAACGATCAAATAGTTTTCCACTAATATTTACTAATGAATACCGTTGGTAAATCTTTTTTTTGCGACCTTTTTATCAGTAGTATAACCACATGCATAGCGTTCAGTTTCCGTTGCCGGTTGGAGGTCTACCTGGGGATCTCAAGAAGTGCTATTGTAGTTATTGCCCGAAACGAACCAGGTGCTAATAAATTGGTTCACAACTTGAATACTCTCTATTAGCGATATCAAACTGATATTAGAATGGGAAATCTGAGTCCAAACTACCGTATCTTGATGACTTACCGGTTAATGCATTATCTGATTAGGTTATAGTAATAGTAGTATGAACTGATCACGAAGTAAGAATCACAAATTAGCAATCACAGGTTAGCAATCACGTAAGCACTGAATCACACTGGTACTTGCACGACAATATCCCACGTAACCCAGACGCAGTTTCTTTATTAAAATAAATCAATAATAATAATAAATAATATGTACAAAACACATTCATTGGTCATCCAAGCGGCTGCCAATTGAGTGCTAGCAGTTCTGGTGTCGTACAGCTTCTGTCTGGATCGCACAGCTTCTAATTGGTCGGTATAACCGGCCTCTGGTTTGTTGCCCAGAAGCTGTAACACGTACGCGCATTGCTGACGTCACCTGTGAAGCATGATCGATCACAGTTGTCCGAAAACTGTAAAGTGTCGCTTCGTGGTATGTGTCATCTCGTAGGCCATGATCCCCAAAAAGGTTCAACCCTCTCTCTCTGTATCGCAGGCCTACAGGGAACCGGATACCACTTGAACTGTAGGCATTTCTGTCCAGTGGGATACAAATGTGGTCGAAAAAGACCAACTATGCGATCCGCAAGTTTTGCCTGATGAGATGGTCACTCCCAGACTACCTTCCTCAGTCGGATAGGAAAAAAAACGTATTTACTGCCTCTACTTGAGCGAACTTTTACGGGGCATTTTTTGTTGTACTCGCCCCAGTCTGGTTCAAGAAGACGTTAGAGTTACCTAAAATAGTATCTTTTCATTTCGACTCAATTGTGGTTTGGTTTCTGTTGGACAGAGGGAAACGCGATCGTCAACCAGAATGTGCGAAAATGTCCCAAAATACCTTGGTCTTCGAGGAGGAGAGTTACTTTCAAATTGAACTTTATTGGCATTTGCTAAACTCTAGTCACCCAGCCAACACTCTAGAAGCGTTTCCGGTCATCATGAAACCAACACCATTACGGTTTTTGTGATTTCCAGAAGCGTTAGCTGTTTCACGTTTGAAGCCTCAGATATGTGTTTCAAACAGGGTTGTGGAGCAACTGGTAGTAATAGTAGCAATAGTAATAAAATTGAATTAATCCTGCGGAGTACAAGTGTCAAAAGTGCTTAAAAGAGTTAAATAGCTACTTTGTCTTTCAAACTGTGGTTTGGGTTGTCGTTTGACAGACTGAAGTCATATGCTGAAATTGTGAAACATTCAGTAGCCACGGTGGGATGTACTTGGAGGTGGTGTATTCGAATCCGACCACTACCACCACCACCACCAACAACAACAACAACACTACCACCGCCACTATCGCTGCTCAAAGTTTCCACTCCCTGTACGTTCTACGGTGGTATGTGACTGGCTACATCCTTGAAGTGGTTGAAATAGGCACAGATCCAGAATTACGAATCACGAATCATGGACGCAAAGGAAACACTGAATCTCATTAGCACTTGCACGCTGGTATTCCACACAAGCATGACGCAAGGTTAAGACCACACAAGTAGCAAATCGTTTATTCAAAGAAATCAAAGGGATTTATTGGTCATACAGGTATCCACCAATCGCCTGCTTGTATTCTTGTCGACATACAGATTCTGTTTGAACCGCCCGACTTCTGATTGGTCAGCACGATTGGCCTGTGATTCGTTATCCAGAAACTGAAACGCATAGGCATTTGGCTAGCGTCANAACTGCGAGGGTTGACTCATTACGGTTGTCCAAAAGCTGTAACGCGTCGTTCCGTGGCTGGCGATATCCCGTATGCTAGGATGCTTACAGGGAATTGTCCTTATATTTACTAAATGGAGAGCGCTGAGGATGAGCTACCAACCATGGGAAATAGAAATGTGTGCAATCAGTGGAGAGTAAACAGAAAGCCAAAATGTGAAAACAAGTGTAATGAAAACTAACTAGTAACAGTTACCGTGGTGGATGAGCTGCTGGTGTTAAATTTGTCCATCTTTCTATCAAGGTAGGACTAGAGTTACAAATAAATCTGGGATTCGAACATACATCCCCAGGGTGATCATTTGATGACGTTACCACCGAGCCACCACTGCTTATAACTGCTGTTTACTTTGCAACGTAAATGATTGCGTGATACGAAAAGGGGACACTGTGTACCGTGGTTGAACAGATTCGGTTTATCTGGACGGTGTCCAGACTTCCCTTTATTTTCATGGCTAGGATGGGACAATCGTGCCAGATGTCTAACCCGATGGCGGAACGAGGAGAGAAATAGAACTAGACAACTTAAATACTTATTTGTCTTTTCGATTGAAAAGACGTTTTTTCCCCGGCCAGAAGAATACTGCGACACGGAATTCTTCTCCTTTTTATTGCTTCTCTCGCATAGCGTGCTCCAGAAGTAGGATCGCTTCTCATGCACACCAGTGTAGGGGAAAGCTGTTGCACACGGGCATGGAAAACAGTCCATCACGGGTAGCTCCTCAAAATGAAAAACGCATTTTTTGTGTGCTCACGCATTTCGCTTCCTTCCTGTCTTGTGTCAGTCTCCTTTGAAGCGGACTATCTTAACAATGCATAGGATATGAAAAAGAGTCAGCTTTCGTGCGCCCGAAATTCGGTTTTTCCAGTCCCTTTCATTAATTGACAGGGATTTCTAGGGCCCAATGTAGGCCCGGGGGGAGTGTAAAGCTAACCGCACCAGTGGGACTAAGTTGGTCGAATAAGAAGGTGAGAAACAACGAACCAGTTTGCACCCTCTTGTGTACGGCCAGATACACACTCGAAAATCCAATGATTTTATTCAAGGATGAACAAATAAGATAAGCCTTTACTAAAATGAAACTTATTGATTATTTCTTGTAGCATATATATATATATATACGTATATATAATACATCTAAGTCTGGATTGTGTATCGAAAAATATAATAACTTCCATGATTTGTTCGTGGGTGGAATATTAGCAGGCTGCTCAGGTTGACCAAAGCCTGACAAGCCAGATATCCGGACGGTGTGTGAAATCCGCAGTCAGTTGGGGGGCCGGTGTCTAGTTCACCGACTCGTACGCCTTTTGAACCGGGTCAAACGTCCCAATCGGGCCACCAACAGTGCCGCATAAATGAAACAAAATATCTCATTTGGAACGAGTTTTCAGAACTCCCACAAGCACACAAGATATTTAATGCCACGGTCCGACAGTAGATGTGCATTTTCTGTAATTAAAAAATTAAATCATTCAATCCACTCGCGAATTTCGTGGGAATTCAATAACCGCTTCTTGGTGCATGCATACTACTCACAAGTGTGAGTAGCACCTCACAATAATAGTTTTACTGGGATCAACGTAAACTGTCTAGTTTATACAAATTGATTACTTTTTCCCACTTTGTTGAATGCTCTACCGAAAAATCCAAAGAATCGCTCATACTTCGACCCTATCAAATCCGTATATCTTTTTTTGCTCAAGAATGCCATACCATCTTCGAGACAAAAACTAGCAACGCAACCGCGCAATATCAATCCGTGCCCCAACAAAATTGTCAAACTGCAAAGTATTAATCACTACTCATTTCAACTTTTCCTTGATGCTGTGTTTCCAAAACTTGATGGGTACTGTTGTTTTTGTGAACTGATGTGTGCGTGCCTGTGTGTGTGGGTGTGCTTGTCGTACCAGTCTATCCCCCAATCGATGGCTTGAAACATTTGACTGCTCAAAGTGTTCGGTTACCTTGTTCGCCCAGCCATTTTACTGGGGGAACACAACCAACTCCGGAGGACTTCATGGAACTATTCTATTCTATTCTATTCTATTCTATGCTATTCTCCCAAAACCGATTTTTCATGTACACTTCTCACCACTGTCATTATCTCTTTATCACACGTGCTTTGTAGTCTTTGGTTGTGTTCTGCCAGCCCAGTTGTTCCCCCTGTTAGGACGAACACAAATCACGGAACAGGAACTGACTGTACTTGCATCAAAATGATTTATAGGGCCAACATTTGAAATACAGATCAGTGAACAAACACATCGGGCCTGTCAATGATGGTGAAATCGATAGCTTGCCGACCAGTCACGTGATGTCTAATGCGAGTGCGCTGTGGCAGAATTTGAATTCTCACTACACTCCCTCCGACTGAAACTGCTTTACTGAAAATCTGTTTCAAATCCAGCTTACCTTCCTCCAATCCAGTTTGAATTGAAATCCAGGCGAACATACGGAATGTGTATATTGTCTTTCTATCTTTTCCTCTTTCAAAAATCATAAACCTAAATAAGAAATCTCAGGTACGTTCCTCACCCATATTCATCATTCAGTTCTTATACGACAGAGACTATGATTTCGAAATTTGAAGCTTGGACAATTTCCCGTTGGCTCAAGTTAGGGTGTTTGACAGTTTGAAGTTTTACGTTCTAATGGGGAGAAGTTCCGCAGCCTCGAATGGGATTCGAATCCACGCAAGGAAGCCACCCACGCCCTTGTACACTGCACGCTTCACCAGCTAGGCTACGAGGCTACACGGATTGCACTGATCTTTTCATGCATGAATCACCTAGGCTACTGAATTTCCCAT